AGTCTTGTTTGGTTGTCTTCATCCAAAGCAAAGAGTGAAGTTAAAAAAAAGGAGAGCAAAAACAAAGAAGGCCTGGCACCAAGCCCGGATGCTTGTTTACAAAGGACCCAAAGCGTGTGCTTGCAAGCACTGGATGCCACGTCAGAAGCTTGCAATGGTAAAGGGCAACATGGAGATGAAGTGGTATTCAGCATCAAAGGCAAGGGAAGCAGTACAGTTCATAAAGCAACAACAAATTGATCCAGGCCTTGGATGGAAGATCCAAATAGTTATGGACCCCTCTGTGCCTCCTCTGGAAGCCCCTGAGCCCCCTCCCCCTGAAATAATAGTTGACCCCTCACCACATGTTAAATTTGCATTGAATCAAGACTTGGAGTGGATGGAGGATTAGAAATGGGACCAAAAGTCAACACCATACAACAAAGAGCTGAATGAGACCTGTGCTGGCTGTTTAAAGAAGACCTGCTTAAAGAAGAAAGATCTGGCAAAGGCAATTGAATTGGCTTGATTTGCAAAGCCACTGTTGCCTCCATCAATGAGCGTTGGCGATAAACATGAGTGGTTCTTTGAGATCTACAGGTCTGTAATGGAGAGGGAAAAGAATGTAACCCCCTGCATTCAGTGTGCAAAAGAATTTTGCTTTGATGAGTGGGGACATCCTATGTATGATCAAAGAAGCTTATCCTTTGATTCAGCTGACTATGAGGAGATGAATCATACAGAGGAGGAGGAGATGGATAGCAAGAACCAGCAACTGAATCATCAACCAAATCAGCAACCAAATAAGCAACCAAATAAGCAACTGAATCAGCAACCAAATGAGTGTACTATTCATATTTAACAAGGATGTTTGCTGATCTGGAGGAGTTTAGCTGATACGGAGGAAGCAACCAAATGAGCTGCTGATACCAAAGAGTTTGCTGATACGGAGGACTTTGCTGATATGTAGGAAGCAACCCAATGAGTTGCTGATACGTAGGAGTAATCAGCAACCAAATCAGCAACCAAATGAGTGTACTATTCATATTTAAGGATACGTAAGAAGCAAGTTTGTTTGCTGATACGGAGGAGTTTGCTGCAACTTAATGAGCTGCTGATACAGAGGAGTTTGCTGATACAAAAGAAGCAAGTTTGTTTGCTGATACAGAGGAGTTTGCTGATATGTACAAAGCAACCACATGAGCTGCTGATATGGAGGAGTTTGTTAACTAATTCATTTATTAGTACACTGATTCTTTTGGTTTATTACTACACTGATTCTAATGATCCAACCACTGTGCTTGTTAACCCACTGGTAGTACAATTCTCAGTTGGTAAAGTTAGTTCACTATTAACAGTCGTGTTGCTTGGTGAAACAACAACATCAACACCATCACCCTCACCACCAAAGCCAGTGCCCTCCTCGTCATCCTTGATGTCCAACAAGTATTTCATGTACTCAGTGTTGTCTTTCAACTCTTTGTTGGTTTGAGGCTTCCACTTTGTCCTATCTTTCAGCTTCTTGTCATTTCTTACTCTAGAGCAGTAGTCTCCCCTACCAAGTCCAAACCATTCATAGTTGTGATAGTTGCTATGACAAAACTTTGGCTGAATGAGATCTCCATTACATTTCCTCTTCTTTGTATTTGGTGATGTGCCACACAGGGGGACTTTGCAGATGTGGCACATACTATAGGTATCCCCACCACACATGTAGCAGATGTTTTTATTCTTCAACTTGGTAGGCCCAACTGCCTTCAGATGATTTGCATACTCAGTCTGAGTGAAGCAAAATCTTCTTGTACTCTGCGATAGTCTGCAAATTGTGATATCCAAGTAACTTGCCATTCCTAAGGAAAGTCTTAAATGCTTTTCTTCTAGTTGCCCTGCCAGTTCTTAACTTTCTTGTTGCTTTTGTACACTGCCTCAATCTAGTATCACAGTTATATGCCTGCTCAACAGGATCATACTTAATCATTTGCAAAGCAAGCCTTTGACAGAATTTGCGGTAGCTCATAACATTGCTTACCTTCCACTCATCACCAAGGCTTCCATCAGCACACTCTTTGTAGATATCGTATGCCGTAGCAATTGCCAAAGCCTTTGCATGATTGATTGCCTGCATGATAGTATTTCCACAATTTGTAACCAATATTGGCTCTGGAGATGTACGCATCTATATGGTCCAGTTTTCCATATGAATAAAGATAAACCTCACAAGACTCATTCATTTCAATGCCCCATATTTGCTTGTCTTTCCCCCTTCCACGCTCCTTCTGTTGGATGTAAAAAGTTGAAGAGGAAATAGAGTTCACTGATCCCAAGTTGCATGCTCCTGTGCTCTGAAATGAACAATGGACTCGTCTGTAGGCTTTTGTACCCTTCTCATGATCAGCTGGTACAGTTTTCACTGCAGTTAGTATAGGCTTCGCCATACGCCATGCTTTTGCTCTCAATTTTCCATTTGAATACCCTGCAGCATTCTTCTTATGAAAGTACTTTCCAGTTCCCATCATGCCCAAGCCTTGCTCACCCATCCAATGTAAAATGGAATCTGATAGGAAAAAATTGTCAGCTTGCTTGGATTGATAGCTGGTTAGTGTTGGTCTTGGTGATACTGTTGCTGCCAGTGATACTGTTGCTGGAGATTTAGTGTTGCTTATTAGTGAGGATGCTGATTAGTGTCAGTGGAGGTGGGGCAAGAAGATGTCGGTTGTCGGAACGAGAAGGGCTTTCACTGAAATTATGGTAGCTTCAGCACATGGTTGTGAGGACTCCTCTGTGTCCAACAACTGACAACAAGTTGCCTTCCTGCAACCAGCATCATGAAGGATCAGTATTGGTGCAGCATCGGATGTTATTTTAGGTAAATATGTTCATTAAGAATGTGTTTCCAGCACTCTAACAGACATCATGACAAATTTTCCATAGAAAAAATGGTGTGTTCCGACAAGATTTCGTGATGTCAGTCAGCGCGCTCAACATATTTTACATGGGAAAAAGATGGCCCAAAATGTACGACTGGGACTGTACATTAGCTGGCCAACCCTATACGATACAGAGGTCTATGCTAATGCTACCCTTGCACCAGAATTTGACTTGATTGAACAGATTTTTCAGACCCTTCAGATTCCTTTCCTCACATACTCCTTTTCTTGGGTGAAAGGCCATCATCCATCCCCAGTTCTCAAGGACCAGAAGCTCAGTTTCCGTTCATGATTGTTGGTGGTTCTGACATTTGTGCCAAAAAGCAACAACACCAACTCCAGTCCCCAGTATCCAGACCTATTTTGAAGAACAATGCTTGGAGTTTCTCCGTGCAGTTTCACTTTTATTCACAATTGTTGTTGTTTCTGACATTGGTGCCGGAGAGCAACAACAACAACCCCAGCCCCCAGTACTCAACCAAGACCCCTTGAAGGACAATGCCTGGAGTATATGGCACATCATACATACTCTAAAAGAAGATTCCCCCCCCCCCAGCTGGATCCATCCCCAGTTCTCAAGGACCAGAAGCACAGTCCTTTTGGGTCACAAGGTTCCCACCCTATCACAAGAGTATACATATAGCAGCGTATCCAGCGGTGACTGATATTCTTCCTACTCGCAGCTTTGCATGACTTTGATGTGCTTTCAGCAGATATCCAAAATGCCTATCTGACTGTACCAATCAAAGAAAAGTACTACACGATTGCCACTGCTGAGTGTGGTTTTTCAGATGAGTATGTTGACAGGCCATGCAAAATTGTCAGGGCCCTTTATGGTTTGCCCATTGCTGGTGCTTCCTTTTGAGCTTACCTCATGACGAGTCACTTAAGAGAGCTTGGTTACTTTTCATGTCAGGCTGATCCTGATGTGCATATGAGAAAAAGGTTAAACCTGATGGAACTTCATACTGGGCTTATCTCATTGCATATGTAGACGACATACTTTGCTGTGGTATGAAACCATGCCTAATGCCAGAGTCAATTGAGAAAAGGTCCACTTTGAAAGATGGCACTATTGAGGAACCTACACTATATCTCGGCGCTGATATCAGCAGGCATCAGATCCTGGGTATCAGTATTAAAAGATGGGCCATGAGCCCTGAGAAATATACTGAGAAGGCCATCCAGGCTGTGGAGCAAGAGCTGGGGACTGAAAAACACGATTACAAGTATCTACCAAAGAAGAAGATCAGTACTCCTCTCTCCCCTGATTACAGACCTGAAATAGACCCTACAAGTGAACTTGACAAGCAAACACCAAACTTTTATCAAGGTTTGATAGGTATCTTGTGGTGGCTATGTGAGCTTGGCAGGCTTGATAAAATCCATCCTGTTTCACTGCTCTCACAATACTTAGCACAAGTGAGAACTGGCCATCTCAACCAAGCCTTCAGAATATTTGTCTACCTCAAGACAAAAAACTGATCACAAATTTGTTATTTCTGATCACATTTTTTTGTGATCAATCTTGATCACAAATTCGAACTGTCTTGTGTACATTTTCTACTAGTCCCATTTTAATATAAGAATTTAATAACTTAATATAAATAATAAAAGTATTTTTACAGGTTTGTACTACTACTAATAGCACACCAGTCCTGTATACGCGACGTGCGACCATTCATGACTGTATATGTATATATATATAAATACAATTATATATATATCATATAAATCGAATAAAAATATTTATGTAAGAATAAAGTAAATATTAATTCTAATCCGTTGGAAAAAGTGTGATAAAAACTGATCACAAAAAATTGTGATCAAGAAATTCATMAATTTTGTGATCATTTCTGATCACATTTTTTTGTGATCAAAACCGATCACATAATGGAAAAAAGGGGACCGGAGAATTTAAATTTTTCGAAAAACATCGAAATCGACATGGTTCCAGGTTTGTTGGATTATGATTTTGAATCATTCGCGTGCCAGTCTTTGCTGGTCTGTCATTCGTACGCTCGCCGACAGCTAGTTACTGTATTTGAAACAAATGCAAACCTAAACATCAAAGCTTTCTTTCCATATTTTACCATACAGTATCGGTAGAAGACGAATGTCCAAAGAGAATACCGTACTTCAGGCCATTTGCTTCAAACCGGCCGCTGCATCCAAAAAATGGGACAGAATGTATTTTTTGTAGGCACGGAACGGCTGATACAGTTAGTCCTTTTGCTATTTCACGTAGCATCAGTTTCTGCCTTTTTGTTGGGTTCCCAGACCGCAGGGCTTTCGGTTTCTGGAGGAAGATCGAGGAAGAAACTACAGCGGCCCCAATATCATTTCCTGACCCCAGCAGCCGAATCCGACTCGCGCTTCCAAGATATTAAGAACAGAACAAACTGTTATTTGTTACCTCCTATATCAGATAGGAATATTGAACTACAGACCACGCAGGCGCTGGTTTACGACCATGAAAAAGATAGTTTTGTCAGGGCTTCTTCATCGCAAGGCCTGGCGGCACTTTATTCCGTCGATTCTAGTTCAGAAAAATTCTCTATACGAATTCAAAGGGGGATCAAGCTTACCTTTTTGCCCGAGGGCGTTAATAAAAGCTACTATCATTTTATACGATGGAGATTTTTGCAGCGTTTCATCAATTCCAATTTGCATGTATTGGGGACACAATCTCTAATAATGGGGCTTGGGATTAAGTCGGCGAAAACATTAGGAGTATCTGCTGCTTTGACGTGGGTATTAAAAGACGCGCTCGGGAAGCTAACTCGGCTCCTTTGGGCTTCTCGAATGGGTCGACGATTCGATTCTGATGCAAAACGGTGGCGATTTCGAGCTTCTCTTGTATACGCTCTAGGGAACTATATGGAAATCTTAACCTACATCAACCCGAGCTTGTTCTTGTTGTGGGCCACTATTGCCAACTCTTGCAAGCAAGTTGCAATGCTGACGAGCAGCGCCACGCGGACTTCGTTGTACAACTCGTTTCGGGATGGCAAACGAGAAAATATTGCCGACATTACAGCCAAGGGTGAAGCCCAGATTGCCACTGTTGATTTGATTGGAATAGCATTTGGCGTGTCCCTGTCTAGATTCATCGGGACGTCTGTGAAGAATGTCATGAGCACATATTTTATGTTACAAATACTAGAGATTTTCTGTCTATATCGACAGATCCGAGGAGTTGAGTACAAGGTAATGAATTTCGAGCGTATGACGAAAGTGGTTGGATCCTTTCTCGACGTTGTTGATGATACAGATTGCACAACAGCAAAATCAAACACCAATTCAACAGTCACTGAGAAAAAGAAAAACCCTGATATCTTAATTCCATCACCTAGTGAAATTGCACGGAACGAGCGCATCTTTCTTCCGCCAAAACACTTAAGACGACGAACTTTGGCTTTTGGATCTCTGGGTAGAACGAAACTTAATCCGGAAGAGTTGTCCAAGCTTTTGGAACTCTTCGCAAATGAAAGATACATTCTTGTTGTTGGTGAAAATACGAAGAATCCTCAGAAAAGGCACAAAATTCTTCAAAAAGATAGAGAGGAAGAAAAAGTTCAGCAAAGCTGTCATATTGTATTACACGAAAAGGCATCGAATTTGGACATTGTAAAGAGTACACTTGCAATATTAACCCTGCGAAGAAAGTTGTTGGCACAACACAGAGTTAATCGTAATACTGAATCACTAAGATCCAGTGATTGTTGGGCCATATTGGAAGAAGTCCGGTCCAGTACGGATCGCCTCTTTCCCTTATTATTGAAGCAGCTTTCCCTCCAGGGTTGGGCATCACCAAGTCGGTCAATGTTTGGACGAGTTTCATGGAGAGCCTCTTGGCCTCTCCAACGCGAACCGACGAGGTCTTCTCGCAAACTGTAATGTCTCTACTGACCTCTGGATGACTACGAAATAGTCACACGCACTAGATTCACTAGAATTTTCACATGCGAAAATGAAATTGAAAGAATCAATCGATTTATGTAGGAATATGAAGTGATAAAAAAGTATCGATACCACACAAGTTACTATTGCTGTATGGAGAAATTGTCTTGTAGCAAGTGGGGTAGGCTCTCCGATTCCACTGCACACGATGAACCAGATGCTTCCAGCACAAAGGATGTAACGTCTTGCAAAATTTCGAACGGAAGAGCTCCGCCCCCAGCTTTGTGAAGAGCGCAAATAGTTGGTTTCCTTTTTCTGCATGATGACGACAACGGTTCCCCTCGATCCAAGACAACATGAACCTTGGCGAATGCACAAATTTCTTCTTCTGTGGTCGCATCGACAATCAAAAGATGAGTCCTCTTGTGCTTGAGCACCGTAACAGTAACAATTATAGGCGCGTTCCCCACACCCAAGATCTTTCCTGCCGCCTTAATGTCGGAGTCGATCTGGAGGGTAGGTTTATTTTCCCCTCCTTGGGTCGCCGGGATGACGGATATTCTGGGCAACAATGTCTGCTGCAATGCTGCATGAATTCCTTGGCTACAAGCATCGATGAGACTGCCACCACCAGAGTTCACGACGAACAAATCGATGTTGAGTTTCCAGGCAAAGTACCCCGGAGCGATGCATAAATTCCTCTTGTCCACTAGGTGAGGTACAAGCAAATTCGATATCGTCGATTCCAAGTCGTCGTCTTGAGTATTCGTTCCCTTCACACAGTCGACATGAACTTCTACAGCACCTTCCGTAGGGGCAGAACTGGCTGGCACTGCCATCTCCGCCTTAATCGACACCAGAACATGGTTCTCTTTGGTCGCTAGAAAGATTCTAGCCGATCCATAGGACAGAGCGAAGTCGCCCACTACGGAAGAATAGAGCCTAAAGTCTCTGCGCGATCTTCCGTCAGCACGGCAATCGTCCTGACAGCCATCGAGTATAAAGTTTGACTCGGCGCTCGAAATTGCCATCTTTGATAGATTTTGCTTCTGCTGGGGGCAGTGGTTGCTTTCCGTTCCTAAAGGTAGTCAGGTTGGTGTGCTTCGTTGGCTTTTCCTGTTTGGTTTTTGTCGGTGTTCTTCCATAATTTCTTCTGGCAGAGAAACTGATCAGATTTTTTTCCCGAATTGAAACAGTAGTGGGTGATTTCCGGTTTCCGATTTCTTATGAGAGTGTTGTGAGCGACGCACAGACGCAAGAAACAAAGACCTGAAACTATTGAACCACTTGCCCTCCGAACTACGGTAACAAACAGCCTTGCCCTCATTCTTGAAGTATTGCAGCAACAAAGTACCATGGTGAGATGTGACTCTAAGGTAAAGGAATATGCAGAATACAATAAAGATTCACCCGACACCTTAGAACCATTGAACCACATACCTTCAAAGAAATAACAAGAAGTTGTGTGTACTAGAATAAAGAGTTAGTATCGTAGTAGTGGTAGTAGTGGTAGTAGTACTAGTACTAGTAGTGTCTATCTACTATTGATACATGTGCAACGGATACGTACGTACTGTATTGAAATGATACGTACGTACTGGAAAGGAA